GGGGTGCAATAGAGGTGGGCATTGTGACTCGCAAAGTCTGAGGGGAGCTTCCATCGTGGGTGGCGATTGATACAAATGAAATACTATGCAATCAAAGCTTTAGTCGAAGTTCAGTCAAGCCTGTCGAGTACGTACTGGACGCTAATCTTTTGATTAGGCTTGATATTTCCCAATGACACACGGAATACTATGTGGGTATTAGTTTGCTACCTTGCTTATTCTACGTTGACGTACCATCCGGATGCTCTTGTTCAAGAAGACCAGCAGTCTTTCCTTGAGCTACCGCTGCCTTGTATTCTGTCTTGGCTTCGCCCTTCTCTTTGACTACTCCTTTAATGGTCTTCGTGTCGTCTATCACTGCTTTGAAAGAGCATACAGCCGCGCCTGGTGGGAGGGGAAACACGTATTCGACGTCCCGGCTGATGGGGGCGCTAGAGTGATAGTCTTGGACGAGCTCGGCAATAGAGTAGACGTCGACGATGTTGTAGTGGCACCTGGACTGTACTAGAGGGTACTCGTCCTTGATTTTTCCTTCGATGGAAACGATTCCAATGAGTCCTAGATAGTAGGGCATGATGGTGGGGGGCAAAAGTGGGTTCGGAGAGATACTTTGAAGCCGAACTCTTGACCTGGTTATATATACCCATTGGTTACTGTCTGGTTGCGCTCGCAGTGATCAGAGCGAAGCCAAGTTTGACCTCCGCTCAGCGTCTATTGTTGGCAGAGGCGGCGCCTTTTTTCCTTGAATTAGCACCATCTCCTTTTGGATCAGTGACGAAGGGGTCAGCGCCTTTTGTGTTGAGTTTTCTTGGGTCCAGAATAGAGTTCAGGAGCGACGTGTCACGCTCTTAACTGCGTACATTACCCGCCAGTCGGTTATTATTTACTCATTTGGCAATGCATATTTGCTGTAGAAGTGCTCTATAACCGAGCTTGGATCCTCGAACGTTGATCCCTGCCAAGCTGAACCTGGGATAGCTACGGCGTCGATTCGTTGAACTGGAATGACTTGGCGATAAACCGCCAAAATTCATGGTTTCTCCGTATTGTATTCGGGTCACGAGTCATCCAGTACCTTCAACGTCAGGCATGACGGCTCAACTGTAAAGTTATCTTCGCGTTTCTGATGACTGACCACCTCACAGTACACGTTCATTCTGATGTATGTAGGGTGAGATCGTTTGTGAGAGTACTGCTCGTCCGAATAAGTAGCCAACCAGTGGTGGTGGATGTGGCCGGTGTCAATTGCGCGCCGAAGAGACCTGCTGCCACCAATCTCTGAAGGGTTCTATCGCCACGTCATTCCCTATTCTTCGTATTCTATTACTCGTACCATGTAGCTTATGCGTCGATACGTTGGTGTAAGTGAGACTTATCGAAAATGAGCAAGTAGGGTCAATCAATTACAATTCACGATTTTTGGAATCACGGTGTAAACACATTCGAGTTCTAAGGTCCATATTCTACAATCAACAGTCATTCTTTTATGTGATAGGTCCATTAGACTGCTGCACTGGCCGCAGCGGTCAACTCCTTCATCAAATCTTCAGCTTTAGCAGCATCCTTGCAAAGATCTTGCAACGTCGCGGAAACATAGTCCCTTGCCTTGTCAGCTAAGAACTCCCAGACGTCCTTCTCACCAGCAAGACGCTTCTCCATACAAGCAATCGTCAAAAGTGTTGCCCAGACTGACTTTTTGGTCTCGTCTGCACCACCCAGACTGCTCAAAGCGCTTGGAAGACCGGCTTTACCTCCTGAAGTGACCAGGTTAAAGTATTGCGAGTCGGTAGGGAAGCTTCCGTCAAACTTTTGGGCTCGAGCTAGAGATTCAACACTCAGCGATGTTGGTACGGCAGGTTGGGCACTGGGATAGCTGGAAGGTGATGGACCTGCATATCCAACAGGTGCGTCATCATCATACAGCCCAAATCCCATATCTTCATCTTCTTCGTCGTCCTCATCTTCGTCGGGTAGAGCAGCAGCGCCGCCCGCTGCAAGGTCAGCCGAGTACTGTTGCATTAGTGTGGGGTCGATACCAAGAGATGGCATGGGTGGTGGTCCACTGAGTCCGGGTGGTCCTCCAGCATAGCCGGTAGGTTGGGCTGCTAATGGCCTTGATCTTGACATATCTTTTGCTGCTTGCTGCTGCATTTGGCTTTGTTGGTACATCATGGGTGGTGGTGGGGCCCCGTACGTAGCCCCTTTGGAGACCGAATACGATGCGGGCTTTGGTACTGATGAAGGAGCCGACCCGAACAAATTGGACATACGCGGAGGGGGCATCATAGGAGCACCCCCAGGGGCGGCCAAAGGGGCCGACATAGGGGCTGACTTAACAGGGGCCGCCATAAGATGTACGCCCTTCTTCCTCTTGAATGAACCCATTGGTTCCGAAGGTGAGGGAATTGATTCTTGCTCCTTCTCAACAGTCGCCTGTTTTTCTGTACGATCCTCTTCATCAATCGCCAGGAAAGAGGTTACAGAGCTCGCCAGCGAGTACCTCTTTCCCAATCTCTCGATCTGGGCCTTCGTTTCTGGTGTCTTTGGCATATCCTCAAACACTTGGATGAGTGCCTTTGCAGCCAACGTATGCAGCATCTTGTTGACTCCTACATCCTTGGCAAGTGGGCTACCGACGTTGACGGAGCTGACGGGCACTTGAAGCGTTACATCTCGTCCGAGTACATTGCCCGTAATCTTGATCTGAGGCGAGTGAGGCCCCGGATTTGAACCTTGTTTGATGATAGCAAAGATACTGCATCGGAATCCGGGGTACAGGGGAATGGGGAGCTTGTCTGATTTTGGAGCTTGCT